CCATCTAATATTTCAAATGAGGTAGCATCGCTGCTGACATTTAACAAGTCATAAATAATAGTTCCTGAAAAAATAATGTTCGTTAGAATAATAAAGAACTTGCATTACGGCCTCTGTAGAAAACAGAATATTCAGTTCCTTAAAACAACGTGATTACAATCGCGTGAATCATGGAATATATTATTAACAGCTAACATATGCATGAATTTTACAATATTAACCAAACATAAAGAAGCAGTTAATTGATTTACTGATAAACATGAATATTTCACAATCATGAATTGACACAACAATCAGTTAAAAGTGTGTCGCTGAACAAATATTTTTCGAAAAACGTAACAGGTTTTGCAACAAAACAGGAACCTCGTCCATCGCACTCTGGAGTTTTGACACTGCAAATTACGGCGGACACTCAAGTGTGACTGTTACGTGGCACAAATCATGGTTAAAAAGAATACAATAGAGCAAGTGACCAATATGTGTAACGGATGGATACCAAGTGCCATCTTTTGACAATGCTACAAGAACGGGTTTCAGTGTCGTTTATTATTGCTAAGACACTTAAAAATGTCTTACCTACAGGTTCCTCTTCATACTCGGCTTCATAACCAGTGTCAAGTTCAAAGGTTCTCCTAATGAATGGTGTGATAATACTATATTAATACAGCTGTTTTCGACAACTGAATTACCGTTTCATCAACATTTTCACTCATACGTAGAATGAATATATAAAGCTCGATAAACACATTCCAAAATACCACACATGAAGGTGTGACAATAAAATTAAGTGTCGAAACATTTTGGACGATTGTAATTGATATCACATATCGCATAACACAACCTTTACTTTTTGTGATGTTCTATGGTCTCACCAATGAAAACATGATTACACCCCTTTTATCTCTTTTTGTACTTCTGGCGAATGAAGTTAACAATCATTTCGTTGCATGAACGTGGTTAGTAAGCCAATTTAAGGCGTGACAAATAGCGATCGTGACACATTTTACCCCTTTAAGCGTTACGGTGATACGCGCCCATTTTCAAGTTTAACATTTGGTTTTAAAACATTTATTGTTGCGAGGAGATACTGATGCCAGATTTGAAAGTGAAATTGTAAAGGAAAATTAAGTGAGATGCGAATGAATTCTATGGACTATGGGCATCCACGGGGGGGGGGGTATTGGGTGTGATGGAGTGTTGGTTCACTTACTATATTGTTTTAAGGTGTATACTTCTATAATATCATTAATAATGTTGCTAAATTTTGATTTGAAATATATTTCATTTAATATTCCGCCTATCATGAATTCAAATTCTTTCATCTTTAATAGGATCGTTCATAAAACCGTACAATCGGCAGTTAGGCAAGTGGA